TGGTGAGATCGACCAACGAATCTCTTCTTCATGCACTTTCATACGAAATGAAGGTCCCTCTAACAATCATCAGATTTAGTTTATAATTGTTAGGCTCACTTTCACTTCGAGTGAAAGGATCTTATTAAGTGAAGATCTTCGGATAGTCTCGAAAACCTACTCATTATGAGTACAAGTAGTGCTGTTGATCGTACTGGCAGATACAAATTTATTTCGTCGACAGTCCTACCGTAAAATGTGAAGTGTGAGAGGTGGCCTAGCTTTCCTAGAAACTCACGTCTGTTCTTTGACTCATTGGCACATGTGGCAGTTTGAAGTAGTGGTAACATGTTGAGAATAAATACTGTACAACTTGGGTTCGATTCCTGTTGAGGGTGCTGACGAAACCCAGGCGGGATCCAACCGAGAATAAACTTTAATAAATACGGTTAAGTGCAATCTAATACCATCGTGGGGCATCGGTACTGACTGACCTCATGCGACCAAGGGGGATAACGATTCGTCTTTAGTCTCTAGACAGACATCACCAGAGTATTGTGCCATTCTTGCAAGTAGTCTAGAAAACTCCTCCGATTCGCTCGACAAGTCGCATATAAAAGCCAACCGGAAGACATTTTTGTAAGATATATAGTTGTTTAGTGAGTTTATGACATGTGAGTGTGTGTATTCATCTCAATGTGAGGCTATGAGAGCAACAGTGACAGGCTTAAGTAGCGTAACCTCTCCGATTGCATATTTCCGGACACACATTCTATTGAAGTGGTGAGTTTTTGTATGAACTCAAATGTATAAAAGTGTGATTCTCACTGCATTCAGGGCCTAAAGGTCTGGTTGAATTGCTTGTTCATACATTATACGCATTTGCACAAGAAATCAAGCTTGCCACAGTCGAGCACACTAACAACGAAACTAAACAGAACGTTAAGACAACGTTTGCAACCCAGAACCAGGACAAATGACCCCAGCTTCTTGAGTATAGGAAGCTATTATGAAATTACGAGGATTCTGCCACCAGAATGCAGTATAACATGGATCATTCTTCCTGGCTGGCTGTCAAGTTCCTGGCCACTTTCACTTCATCAAGTGTCGTTCATACAGTTTCTTCCGACGTATGCGTGAAAACGTGTCGGCCGAGGGGAGAAAATGTACCCAAATCGCTTGCATCCTCAGCTGCAGTCGTCAGGGCAACAATCGTAAGGCTTCTGGATCTGGTCGTATCACTCGAATATGTAGGCATAATTGTTTACACAAAAGGTAAAAAGTTAAGATAACAAATGCATACGAATATTTTAAGACTGCTGAGTGGACGGGAAGTCATTGGGAAAGACAGTCGTCCTTTCCCATTCTGGTGGCCACTCCACCCGACGCTGTCGTTCAGTTGCTTTTTCTGTCCTCCAAATATTTGCATGATTTGCATGCAGGATGGTATGAATTACTCAGTCATGTACCGCTGTTCACTCCATACTTTTCGTCCGAAAATCAGTTCTTTCAAAGGGCAAACTGTCTCGTGAAGAGAATGTGAAGTAAAGGTGGATGGATTAAACGGAGCAAAGCCACCAGCCCATCTGCCCCGCATTCCAGTTAGTCCGTCTGCCTTAGGACTGGGCAGTGTGTCCCAAGGGGAGCCGGACAATTTGCTGTGATTGAACAAATGTAGGCAATCACAGCAATGCATTCCAGTGGAGCCACTAGTTCTGAATAAGTGCCTACATCATGTGTGGATCAAGTCCACCTCTGCTGGTTGTTCATGTGATGAGCATTAGTGATTTGTTGAATATGCATGCACTCAGGGTAAAACAATAATTCCCAAAGTCTCCTGTAGCTACGAGGCGCAATCAATGCGTTGGGAGAATAACGCTGGGAGGAATGGAATGTTATTTATTATTTAGGCAAGCGAATATCACGTGTCTCTTGAAGACTCTTGGGCAAGTCTTGCACTTTTCTCTTCGGGGAACATTTACGTAAAGTATACAGCCAGACAGACAAAAATGGACAAAATAGGTGTTATTGTGCCCAACAATTGTCCTCGT